GCCCCTGCTGAAAGACTCGACAGAGTGAGACAGGCACATGGCATTCAGAGCAGCACTGATTACAGCTTTACTGCATCCTTCTGTCCAGAGGCATCAGTCACTTCCACAAGACAGCATCATGCAAAGGCCGTGGGTCCTGCTGCTCAGCAGTGCTGTGCCCCGAGTGGTGACACCCTGAGCTCTGTCACTGCAGCCCATGACATGTTCATGGTCACTTACCCCTCATCAGTGCCTCTGCAGCCATGGGAGGTATGTGCCTGTAATCCCTATAGGATAATAAGGTCTGACAGGCCAGGCACTGCCAGCCAGTTATGGACACCCTGAGCAAGGCGCAGGTCACGGGGCTGAAATCCAAATGCACTAAGCACTCAGAAATCACACTGATTCACTGCTTCAAGCAGCCATGGTGAGATGGGGATGGAGACTGCAGATACAAACAAAGAAACCAGTCCAGCACAGACGCTTCCTGCCCATTACAGCTGTGGGTTTCACTACAGCTGTGGCTGGCCCTTGGCTGAAAGCCGTGTTTGTGTTGCTCCCCACAGCACTGAGGCTGAAATGGCTGCAGAAGGTGAGAGTCATTCAGATTGAGACTCACCTCTGCCATGGTATTTGCCTTCTTCTTTCAAGGGCTACTAGAATTATGCTCAGTTTGACCTGCTGCAAAAAATTCCATCCCTCAACTACATATTACCCTGGTTATGCAGAACCACTGGTTAACCTGGAACTCATAGGAAAGGAAGGGTGATTTTATGCTCCACACATCAAATGTGGATCCTAATTCTGAATGTTTAGCATAAGAAACATAAAAGAGGGAAGATTGTCAGCCCCTTCTGAAAAATTGAAAACTGTTTTTAAAGTGAATTCAAGCTATCTATCCCAGAAACAGAGACACCTGAAATCCCTCCAGACTCCATCATTAAGTCCCTGAATATATCAAATGCATGTTTTGTTTGCCAGTAATGTTGGTGGGGATTAATAAAACTATTAAGAAGAGGGTTGGGAAAATCTCTTTTTAACATAATGACAACAAACATTTACATAATCAGCACAAAGGAGAATAAGAAACTGTCTCCAAGCTTTACCAATGTAGCAAGTTAACAGGTTTTTTTGTGTGATGGCATAGCAGCATTGCAAAATGGGCTCACTTATAATTAAGTACTCTATAATTTGCCTGGCTTCAGGCTTGAATGCCAACATAAGTTATGGAAAAGCAGAGATATAACATTTTCAGATGCCAGACAGGGGTTTGTGTTAGGGAAGTTTTCATGGGATGAGGGATGCGCCCCTTACACCAGGCAGTGAAGGGCACTGACCTGAGCTTTCTGCTGTCCACAAACCACTTGGGAAGATCTCTCGCTTGGAAAGCCCTAGAATTTAAAGAGCCTTGGTGCTGGCTTTGTCTCAAGACACCCAGTATAATTTTGTGTCTTACAGCCTCTCCCAACACCCCTGTGATAGGAGTGCTTGTGTTTGCAGCTCCTGCAGGCAGGGCACATCAGCCTTGGCAGCCTGGAGCAGCACCTGGGTGACAGCATGAGCGCCTGAGCTGCAGTTTCAGCCACCCAGGCTGAAGGACAGCACTGAGCAGTGCAAGCATCTTAGCAGAATATGAGTAGGTTTTACAGAGATATTTTGAGAAAATTCTTCCCTTTACTGAAGGACTCAGGGTTAGTGTAAACCCACCACTTTCCTAGGTTCGTTTTTTTCCCCCTAGGCTTAAGTTCTACATAGTTCTTTGGGTACTACACCAGTGATGTATTTGGAGTCTGGAAAAGATTTTTTCCCTACCTTATCAGCATAGTCTCATGCTGATGAAGTGATTTAACAGGGCAAACAGCCTGTGTGATCCTTCTTATCACTTCCCTACCCTCCTAGAAGAATCCTCCATCTCCTAGCACCAGTCATAGCTGTGAATTCACCTTAGGTCCCACAAGCACATTTTCACACACCTGGGTATTCCCATAGGATCCCATGGGTCACGGGCCACAAATACCCACCCTTTACACACACAGCTTTCCATTCTGGATCAAACCATGGCTGCATTCAGCTTAGTCTCGGACAAAAGTTACGCACAGCTGGAGTGTTTCCATTTAGGTATATATGACACATAAAGAAATTACTCTGTACCCTTAGTGCTGACCCTTTTATAAATTTTCATTTTAAGTAAAGCATAAAAAGTAGTGGTAAAGCAACACCCTGACATATGATATTTCATCTTTTCCCTATCTTCTGGGAAGGTTTTGTACAAGTCACAACAGAAACACTTGGAAGTGGGTAGATTTTCCTTTTTCAGATTAAACACTTTGCTTCGGTTGTCATAATATGCTTCTTTACCACTTTGTTACTATCTTTTCACCATCCCTTGAGTTTGAGAAACAAAATTACTTTCTTATAGAGGCAGACAGTGTTTATCAGGAAAAAAGACATTTTTTTCCTGTTTGTTTAGCTGAGCTTGTAACTTCTTAACTGAATAAGTTATAGTGAAATAAGATTTCAGATCTACAAAGAGCAGTCTTCTACAAGAACATAACAAAAATAGAGTGTCAATTAGTTGTAGGAAAAACATTATTTCATGGCTGTCTGCTTAGAAAATTTCAGGAAGTCAAAAAATCAGTTACAAGGCTAAAACATGATGCTCACAAGTTTTCAAGAAAAAAATATGCAATCATAATAAAGAAACTCCAAATATAATGCAAAGACTGAGAAATTTACAACTTATGTCAGTATTTTCCATGGCTGTTGAGTTCTGTTTTGTGTGGTAATTGCCTGTGCTAGTGCCAGAGCTCATTATCATCTGTGGGAGATGGTTTCTCCAGAGATCAGTGCTCACTTGTTTTTTCCCTGGTGGTACTTCAAGAGCCTGTGGTGTTCCTCCTGGATCGAGCTGGGTCCTTTCCTCTTTGCCTGTGTCAGGTCCTCAAGATCTTGAGAATGTTTGCCATCCTCCTTCTAGCCCATTTTATTTTGATGAGGAATGCATTCCCTAGACCTTTCTACCTGGTATGTCCCTGCTCTCTGTATGGTGCTGCATGGGCAGCAAGAAAGAAAACAAAAAATCACAGAGAAATGGGACCTAGGTGCAGAGGCCAAAAGGATGAGTTCCAAAGGAAGCTGACAGCCAGAATTTTCTGTCTGAATTGTTGCTTTTTTGTGTGTTTTTTGCATTTTGTTTCCAGGCAAGACACATTTGAGGGTGTGGACTAGTGAAAGCCTCAGGTGCAGTGTTTGTTTTGTTTGCTTCTTACAGTAAAGCAGACCATATGTTTACTGAATTTCAGCCATTCCTCACAATAATCCACACAGTTTATTTGTTGTCTAAACATTTGTCCTAACTTTTCTATGGCAGGAACATAATACTTGGTGGGTAATAGTGCTAACCCATCTGCAAGCACCAGGAAAAAACAACCCTTTCAAAAATGAGGATGTCAAGTCAAAGGACGGCTGTAATATGATTATTTATCTCTCAGTAATATTAAATTCTAAGTTCTCAAACACTGTAGACAGTGTCCTGATATAAATAAAGACTGAGAACCAGCTATAAGAGAGACAATTTTGAGAGGATTGAATGGATTAGAGTCCGGTGGTGGATCCCTAATCTACATCTATTCCAGAATGAGATGGATTTGAAAGTTTGATGAAACAAGAACACATTTTCCAGACTCAAAGACAGAAAAAAATGCACTGTATGAAACAGCCAGCTATGACAGAGAGAAATTTAGATAGGCTGGTAAGACACTGACAAACTTTGATGCAAGTGTTCATCACAAAATTGTCCTTTCTGTGACTCAGTGCAGCTCTACAGTAGACGCAGCTATTGCTCTTTTCCTCTGATATACGCTGACCACACAAGAAACTGAGCAATTCAGCACAGCCTGTGTCCATGTTGGGTTAACAAGAAGAATTTCAGCAAGAATTCTGTGTCCCATTGTGTGCTGTAAATTACATGGTTTGTTACCAAGCTTTTTCAAAACAGATTGCAAAAGATAGGAGTCAATCTGCCCAGAACTTGCTAAGGATCTAACTGAAAATGCAGTGTTATATGTTAAGAATGGAAACTAAGTGCACTTAAATTAATTAAATATATGGAAAAGAAAAATCAGAAATAATAACATGCTAATAAGTCCCTGGTAATACAAGGAATTGTATTGGAATTGACAAGGAATATTGATCACTAGTCTGTTTCACATTTGTTATGCACTAATGCACTGAGCACATCTAGAAAAGTGACAGTTCTGTAGTAATTACATAGGAATTGTCAGTACATTCATTTGTGTTTGGGTTATTTCACTGCACTGGCATTTCTATAAATTATAACATGTCACCTTAGATATACACAGAAGTTAAATCATCTATCTTTCAACTTATCATAGAAACAAGAGCAAAAAGGCCCCTTGACAAGAATTTGGATAAAGGCCTTAATAAAAATTGCAATGTTGTAAGACTTCTGGCTGATTTTATTTATTTTTTTTTTAATAATTGAAACTGGATTTAATTGTTCTCCAGTCATCTAGAGTGATGAGAAAGCAACTGCAACTTTCTCCAAGTGTAAATATTTATGAGATATAAACACTCAAATCTAGCCTGAAATAAACTCAATCATTTTCCAGAGGCCATTAAATAGTCAACTAATACTTGCAACTTGTGCTCATGAAGTTAGATCTCTGCTATCTGAAGCTGAATCTGCTGACCTGGAGAAAGACACATGAGATCCATCAGGTACCTGATTTAAGACCCCTTGATTTATCCTCATCACCAGCCACAGCCTAGAGCACACATTTTAGTCAAAGAATGTTATGAGCTAGTTAAGTGACACAGCTAAATGGAGCAGTTGCCTGTCAGAGGAGTGCTAATACAGTATTTGAAATTTATGAGTATCCTTATAGCTAAAACAATCTACTCAGATAACAATTATCAGGTCAATGCCTTTTTAGAGAAGTAATTGACTTCTCTGTAAAAGCTGGCATTTGTGTTTTTTGCTTGTTTGTTTTACTGTCTGGAGTGTGGGGAAAGAAAAAGAAAAAGGGAAAAGCCACCATTTACACAAGCCAACAACATTCTCTTGCAGTAAAGAAGGCTAACCCTGTCCCAGGCTGCATTAGAAGGGGGACTGGAGAAGATGACCATCAGATATCCCCTCTAAACTCTATGATTTTGTGCTTCTGTGAAAAAAAAGGGAAAGGGGGAGAGAGAGAGAAAAGGAAAGAATTAAAATCACTTACCTGATTCCAGCAGTCAGAAACAGATGTTTGTTTCCCACTAAAATAAAAATACAAAATATATTAGGTTGAATTATTTAACTTTGGTTTTCCTCTTTATTTGGTTCTCAGTGCATTTTTGTATTCTGAAGTTTTATTACAATTATAAACCTCTTCAATTTGATCAATGATGGGCTTTTCCCCATTTTGATCAATGATATGGGTTCCCCCCCCCCCCCCCCAAACTAAATTGCTGGACTGCTTAGTTAATGATCTTGAGGTTGTCCATGCTGTTTTGCCATTCTTTGTAAACTGCTACTTCAATAAAAGTACAAATATAAAGCCCATGCCAATGATCTGGGCTTGAATTAAACATCTCTGACACTGAACCTTTTCCGAATGAGCAGTACAAGAGACCAGAGTGGAAAACATGTTAAGTTTATGAAGACTATGATTCATTAACTAAAATATAATGTTCTCAGTGATGCATAAGTTGAAAAAATCTGAAGATATAAGCTATCCTACATTTTGTGATTCTATTCAGTATTTTATTTTTAACTCAAAATAGGGAAGAGGTTTCTACGAAACTCTCCTTGAGAAATTTAAAACCAGGACTCAAGACACTGCTTTCAAACATTAAACCTTACAGACATGTTAAATATTCACTTTATATAGCAAGTATCTTAAACTGCTGCAAACTTGCATGAAGAAGCTGGAGCAGGGTTGCAGAAGCAGCGCTGCAGAAAATCTATATGTCACAGCTTACTCATAGTTGGAAAGTAAAAGGACACTTTTCACAGGCTCAGGTTGCTGACAGTAACTGAGAAAGATATTTGAGTGAAGCTGGCACTCATGCTAAGAAACATTAGTTCATATTAAAAACCCTTGGGGTTTGGTATTTTTTTTTTCTGAATATGAGGTAGGATTTTAATTCAGCAACAGATAAACCTTCAAATGGATCTGGATTTTCAGTTTGTTGTGAGACCATGGAGTTTACATGATTATGTAAAATTCTGCCATTTGCAAAATGAAGCTTAGATGTTAAATGGCACTGTCAGTACACATCTGCCATGACAACCAATGTATATTTTATATATTGAACTGGTGGCATACCCAGGTTTCTTGATTAGAGAATATCTGGGGCTAGGTTTCTACTGTTTCTCTATTCTGGATAGACCTAGAAGCACCAACTGAACACTGTTCATCATGTTTTGGGCTCTCTGACAAAAAAATACAGTCAAAAATTAAGTATTAAAAGACAGGAAACTTCTGTGTATATTTGATAATAAAGACCATCAGCCACAGCTTTGGACAATGGTTCAGACAAGTCTGTAGCTCATTTATTTCCAGCTGGTTCTGTACCTGATCCAGTTCACAGTAACTCAAGTGAGAAAATTTAAGACACAAATTGCTGGAGAGTTGTGTATAACTTCACCTTTCCTCCTTACTTCCAACTTCAGTATTCTACTGGGAGCACCACAGTGAGATTATGGACCAAAAAGCTGATATATTTATTTCTAAATGCCAATAACAAATCAGACAGCATGACCCAGCGCAACGAAGGGAGGCAATTACTTTTGAAAGGGTGAAGAAAGGCTCTGATTTGTACTTTGCCAGTTATGAAATACTTTTAATAACTTCTTTCCCTGATGGCCACCACTCCTCATATGTCACTCTGGGTTATCCCTGGGGTATGTTTATGTAACAGTCAATTAGCTCTAAAGGTCTTTTTTTTTCCTATTGGGTGAATTTGACAGTCAAGTTTGAGAATGGTTTAACTCCCCATTAACTGTTGCTAATTTACAAGAGAACTCCTGCAGAAAACAAACAAATAAGCACATAATTTGATGCAACATCAGTCTGGAACACCAAACAAAGTCATTAGGAACAGCTCAGCTATTAGGATTAGCAAACACAGGTGACTGGGGGAAGGGGCAGTCAAGCAAACAGAGCTCTGTCATTCTCTGGAAGAGCTAGCATGATTCCCTTCAGTTATTAATCTTCCTGTGGGGTTCAGAAACAAGTTGTGAAAAACCTCACACACAAAGGCAAATTTAAAGTTCAAGTTCACGTTTAAGAATTTTGATGTGCAGTAAATAAAAAGACATGGTTCATACTTTTTCTGAACTCATCCATAAGTACAGAATTTGAGAGTCAAATGCATTTCACGTAAGGGACCTGCACACAGCAAAGCCAGACAAGCTCCTCTACGTGTCCCGTTCCAGAGTCTGACATTTGTAGCCACTCCGTATTACATGTTAAATCCTGCTGCAAAACAGTCTGTGAAGGTTGGTGGACAAGAAGTTTGTATTAGATCCATTTTCACTCCTGACCCCCATCTCCAGCCTTTGGTGAGGCCAGCAGTGGCTATGCAAATTTCACTAGTCATAGAATGTCCTTTTTCCCTTCTGTTTTTTAGTTAAAAAGAACAAGAATGGAGAATTCCAAGAGACCATTATACCAGCAGAGGTTGGAATTGATGTTCACTTGTTCTGTGGAAAACAGAATTATTTCTTCTATATAATCATACATTTTAATGTTACATTTAAAGCCCTAACGACCAATTAACACCTCAATAGTATGAACTCCATTGTACGAACGAGGATGTCTTTATTTCAGCAAACTTAGACTATAAGCAAAATGTGGTTATAACACTTGCATAATTATTTGTTACCATTTAATTCCCGGTGTCTTTGAAAAAAATTAATCAAGCTTAATTCCTAAGGCTGTGCAAAGAACAAAAGGATCAAGATGTTGCACACTACTTAGGTGGATCAGGACTGGTTGGTATATGCCAGGTGTCAGGGAGCATTTTATGCTCCAGGGAAACCCTGCCACAGCAACAAAAACAAACAAACAAACAAACAAACAAACAAAAACCAACAAAAAAACCCCCACAACAAACAAACAAAAAACCCAAACAAACAAAACAAAAAAACCCACCCAAGTAAACAAGGGATAAGATGTATTTTAAAAGAATAGGGTCCAATAGTTATGCAATGGAGAACGAAAAAGGCAAGGAAGGGGCTTCAGTGCAATCCACAGAGGCAATAAAAAGTATTGCCACTTGGAAAATTTTATCACACAACATTGTCAAAGATGTTTGAAATATCACTGTGCCACAGGACTAAGTAAAACCAAAGAAGAAGCAGGAGAACTAAAGCTCTCCTTTAGGATCTTTATTTTCAGTTTACTGGCAGAAACAAACCTATAAAATTACATTATTTGAAGTAATGTCAAATGTATCTGCCAACCCCAAGCAAAACATTTCTTGTCTTTTTTTTTTTTTTTTTGGAGTGGGGGTGGGTGTTAGTGTTTTTTAGTTGGGTTTTTTTTTCTGGTTGAATGTCCTTTTATCCTTTTTTACCTGTACGTTGAAAGAATCATTAGTTTGAAATGACAATCCAATAGATTTTATTTGCAGCTTTTAACAGAAGGAAATAGTAGCCTTCTTTCAAATATTTTTTTCTTTCTACCCAGAGCTACTCAATACATTTGTTATGATATTTGATTCAATAATAACTCCTGTTGACCCATTTGTATGGGGTAAGTAATTTCTACATCACAGTCTCACAGCTGAATGGTACCCAGCAGATCCAAAGGACAGGTTTTCAGCTCAGAAAAACAAAAGGCAGAGTTGTGCTTGTGTTTTCTTTGAAGGTCTCCTGCAACACAATGAACGAGTCAGAGTGGCTCCTTGATCATCCCTTCTATGCAGATAAACCTCTCTGGGGAGCTGGGCAGAGGTAATGCTAAAGGCAGCTCTCTGTCAGATCAGATCCCCAGGGTCATAATATGACAGGGAAAGAGTTGAAGGACACTTAAAGATGTCCTAACAATACCTGTCCACAAGAGGGAAAAAAAAAAAAAAAAAAAAGTGTGTAAAAGTGGTTTAAATTCACCTTTGTTCTCTGTCATTAGTGTAGCTTTAGGCACAAATGGGCCAAACTACAGAGTGCAGACATCAATCACCTGGCAGAAAAATCCCTCTCCCGAGGGATCACGTGTTGCATCTGTAGTACCTGGAATGCAGTCCTTTGCTTTTGATATGACATTTGTTTCCACAGCAACCAGCTGGGAAATAACTATAGGGGATATAAACTACATAGGCAGGAATGCTATGACAAACAATTCCAGCCTGCAAATCAAAACACAAAAGGGAATGAAAAGGAAATATCATTTCATCTGTAAAGACAAGCACTGAATAGTCAGATACAGGGCAGAACTCAAAGTTTCTAGTGGGCTTCAGCTGCATATTTCCCAGTTATTACTCTATTAAAGCTTGTCTTATCACCTGAGGATGTACTTTTATGTTGAAGCTATAAATAAAGCCATCATGAAATTCTCAGAGCAACCAGATTATTGCAGTAATGATAACCAGGATGTCATTTATTACCAAGTATATTGGCAAAATCTCACACTTCAGTGATAAGGATACTTCAAGAAAATACATATTGCCTATTTATTTATGACAGTAACAACCTAAGTGTCCCCAGAGATTAGAAAAAATCAATTATTTGATTATTTAAGAACAGAAGTTCCATGAAAAGATCATCCTAACTGCCCTCCATAACACAATTCTATTACATCAGCCAATCACTCATGGAAGTATGACAGCTTGCACTTGAAGACAGATTTCACTGCTACGGACACAGCTGCTGCTTGACAGTGCTGCACTGCCCCAAATAGGGCTGGAGGGGCCACAGGCAGGAAGAGCACCCTGCTCTGCCAGCCATGACCCTGACACACAGAGGTCTGTGCACTCTTGGATGCCAAAGCTTTTCCTTCTTGGAGAAGGAAAAAAAAATGTCCAAAGAGAACTAAGCTTCCCTTTCAAGAAAATACTCAAGTCTATCTTTAAATGTATCCATTCTGGGAACAGCGTTCATTTAAATTGAAGTGGCATATTTTCCTGTCTGGGATTCTTAAGTATTTAATGGCATGAAAAATATTCAATGCAAACTTTTCCAGAAGTTCACTGATTACATTATATACTCCCTGTGAAGTTGGATGCTGTGCAAGCAGTCACAGTCCCTGCCAGAAACAAGAGTGCTTTGATAT